GTTGATTGATCCAAATTCAGCCTATTGAGTGGTCCGTTGGCTCCCCAAAAATCAAACCTGTTGATTGATCCAAATTCAGCCTATTGAGTGGCCCGTTGGCTCTCTAAAAATCAGACCTGTTGATTGGTGCGCTGACCATGTGATCGAGCTTGATGATTTTGCTTGTTGACTCTCTAGAAATTAAGCATATTGATTGGTTCGGTTGGCTATAAAATCGGACCTGTTGATTGCTCCGCTGGACATCTGATCGAGTCTGCTGATTTGGCTCTCTGGCTTACTGATAATTAAGCATGCTGAAGGGACTGATTATTCTCTGGAAATCGACTCGCCTGATCGGACCACTCTCCCTTATAAAACCGAACTTGTTAGAGTCAAAACAGATAACCCTCATGATCAGGCCCAATACACATCTGGCTCTGACTCCAGAAAAGGGGGAAGTGCTCATTGAACAAAATTACTCAAGAGAATCATGATCTGATAACGCTAGATTAAAGCGCTTTTGCGGTCTGGGGTAGCAGGAGATAATAAGCACCAACACCCTATCTGCTGTTGAGGACCTCGGAAGTGGGCGCGCCGAGTGACAGGCGACGTTGCCCCTGGCTTCAGCGAGCGGTAGGAGCCCCTCCCCGGGTTTCTCCACAACTTTGGCGCCATTGCCAGGGAGGGGAGCAGCACCCCCAAGGCCGCGGCCTTCCTCAACCAACGGGGGTGCACGGGCTGATTAGTCAAACAGTAATTGGCTTGTTTTCTTGATTAGTTTTATTTTTTATAATCATATTATTTAGTTGTTTTTGAAATATCTCCCGATCCGCTCGTTTTTGTGCGAGGCGCACGAGGAGCAAAGTTCGACGTCTTGTCGAGGCGAACGTTTTGATATGTTTTTTGAGAAATTCTAACGGCTAGAAAAACAGATATAGATTTTTTTGTATTTTCTAATTAAAAATCATAAAAATCATGAGTTTGAATATTTAATTCGTTTTTTTTCGATATATCCCGATCCGCGCGTTTTTGCACAAGGCGCACAGAAGCAAAGTTCGACCTCTCGTCGAGACGAACGTTTTGAGATGTTTTTTGAGAAATTCTAACGGCTAGAAAAAGAGATATGGAATTTTTTGTATTTTCTAATTTAAAATCCCAAAAATTATGAGTTTAAATATTTAATTCGTTTTTTTTTCGATATCTCCCGATCCGCGCGTTTTTGCGCAAGGCGCACTGGGAGCAAAGTTTGACCTCTCGTTGAGGTGAACGTTTTGAGACAATTTTTTAAAAAATTCTAATCGCTAGAAAATGAGATATGGAATTTTTTGTATTTTTCTAATTAAAATTCCTAAAATAATGAGTTTAAATATTTAATTCGTTTTTTTTCGATATCTCCCGATCCGCGTGTTTTTGCGCGAGGCGCACAGGTAGCAAAGTTCGACCTCTTGTCGAGGCGAACGTTTTGAGATGTTTTTTGAGAAGTTCTAACAGCTACAAAAAGTGATATGGAATTTAATTAAAAATCCCAAAAATCACGAGTTTAAATATTTCATTCGTTTTGTTTTTATATCTTCCGATCCGCGCGTTTTTGCGCGAGGCGCACCGGGAGCAAAGTTCGACCTCTCGTCGAGGTGAACGTTTTGAGACAATTTTTGAAAAATTCTAATAGCTAGAAAAGGAGATATGGATTTTTTTATATTTTTCTAATTAAAATTCCGAAAATCATGAATTTCCTTTTATTTTAATTACGAAGAAAAGAAGCGAAATTGGGTGTACCCCGCCCCGACTAAAGTTGGTCCTTGTATTTTTCCCGATGTTTTGAGACCTTAGTCGGGGGAAACGGACTCCGTTTGGAGGAATGGTGACCGCCAACAGACAGGAAAAGGGGGGGAAATTAAAAGGAATGAGTGATTTTCTTTGCATTTTTATAAAAATAGAAGGGAAACAGAAGTCAGCAAAAGTGATCCATTGGAACCCGGCTTTTAACTGACTATAAACCGACGGAAAATTTTCTGCCTCGAGAAGTCGGACGTGGTGGTGTGCGGTCGCGCGCAAAACCCCAAAACCCTAATTGGGGGAAACCCTAATTAGGGTAAACCCTAACCCTAAGTTAGGGAAGGGCGGTGCGTAGCCGGGCGGACACAAGTCTTTCTATCCGACCGGTGATGAGAAAATTTTGTATAAATCCGGTTGACCAAATTGAAATTAATCAAAATTAGGAATTTTGTTTTAATTAAATAATTTAAGTTGTAAATTTGTTTTAGGTAATAATTTGTCATTAAAAATCGATTAAAAATWAAAATAAATATCTAAAATTCTTCAAGAAAGGGGAGTCGGCTTTATTACGACTTGTGATTCAGGAGATACTTCGCTTAACCCCATCCCAACGGGGGGGAGCAAAATGCTGCCGAAATTTCTCGGCAATTTGTTGAATTTTATTGAATTAAATCTTAAATAATTAAAGAAAATACTTGAAAATTAGCTAAAGATTGAGATACTTTTTTGGTTCTTAATCTTTCTTGTTAAACATCTACCGTCGGTATTTTAAGGCCTTCGGCCGAACCCTATCCTGACCGGGGGGGGGAGACAAAGTGCTGTCGAAATTTCGAAAAATCTCCTAATTTAAATTATTAATTCTTTTTTTTATAAATATATTGAAAGCGATTAGGGAAATTAATTATAAATACGTTAGAAATTTGTTTCTTTCAGCGACTTTCCTCTTGTTTCATTTGGCTTTAGTTCTGGGTAGGTAGCATTTGTCTAGGGACAATAGTCCCAAACGCCATCCCAACGGGGGGAGGCGAAACGCTGCCGAAATTTTAGAAAAATCCCCAAATTTTATTTCTACCCCTAAAAATCTTCAAACTCGGCGGGCTTATATATGTATTCATCCTTAATATATATAAACTAAAAAAGATATTTTATCCCAACTAAATATATTTTTTTTAATTTATAATTGAAAAATATAAAAGAATTCCCTAGAGGAAGAAGGGAAAGAGACGTTGCGGTAACCTGGGTTCGGGTGAACCTATTGGCTTGTTCCCAAAGGTCTGAGGCAAGTGACGGAAATTTTCAGTTATTAAAGTTATTTTTTTATAATTATTTGTCAAATATTCGGATTAAATCAACAGCAAGGGGTAGAAGGAAGCACGTGCATAACTCGCGGCTCGCTAGGGTTTTCATTAGATCCCCCTATGCGTTGAGCGCGAGGTAGTGTTTTCTTCTTGTTTATAAGGAATTTTTATTAATTTAGACGATTAAATATCTCTTAAAATTACGAAAAAGGCTTAAAAATTGAAAGAGTGAGTACGCTCGGCTCTTAATTTTGGGTTTTGACTGGGGGACAGGGTCCGTTGCTCGGATACCTATTTGAGGGTGCAGTAAACAGAACTCCCTCGAGTTGAGCCCACACCATATATTCGAGGGAACTCGAATATAAGACCTATAGGCCAATCCGAAACCGGGATTTCAACACCATTTCCTTTTCAGATGAGTCAAGATTAGTACGACTTCAGTGCGGCTCCGGGTCGCAAGGGCTCGGTCGATYTGCGGAAAGTCCCAGTTACACTGTCATCGCGCCTCCGTTCTAATTCCTTCTGTACTTCTCTCTACCAGTGTCAATTGAGTTTCTCTCACATCCCTATTTCTGACTATTCCGAGTCTTCCTTTTTTCATATGTTATTTTGCTTTTAGAGATGTTCCCCCGTCCCACCCGCCCTTCTCACTGAGTTTTTGCATACTGCAGGGTGCCGCTGATCAGGGTTGCGACCCTCCCGCCCACTCCTTCTCTAGGGCTCTGCTAACCAGGGTTTGTGGCGCCCCTGGGCAACTCAAAATTGGGCCGGGCTGTTGTCCGTAAGCTCTAATTTTAAGTCAGCCCAACGCCCCAACTAAAGAAGTTCCTAGCGTAGTTGTTAGGACATAAGTGACTGTTCACAAATAGGTACGGGCTGCCGGATAAGACAATAGGTCCGGGCTGCCGGATCAAACATTAGGTCCGGGCTGACAGTCCTGACATTGGGTCTGGGCTGCCGGTTCTGACATGAGGTCGGGGCCGCGAGTTCTGTCACAGGTCCGGGCTGCTCCAACTGTCATAGGTCCGGGCTGTAACGCCTAGCGTAAGTGCCCGACTACAACTGCTGGTAGCCTATGGAACCAGACATGATGGAGCCACAACCGACCACGGGCGAAGCGGGAGAGGAGTACAGGGCATCGCCCGATCGAGCACTGAGGGATCTAAAGGAATCAATTAGGCAAGAAGCACCGCTGAGATGGGCTAACCAAACCAATGACGGAGGGCCCGACGTAAAAGGCGAACCAGTTGCGACAGAGCCGCAGGAGGCTCTAACGACGGGTACCTCGAGCGGACGACGAGAAACGACGAGACGACGCTCCCCCGAGTCCGAGCGGAGGGACACCATAGCGGATAGGCACAAAGACGACTGGAGAGAGAGTTTGAGGGATTCGTGTTGGAGGGACAGAGATAGAGACAGGGCGCCACCTAGGTGAGTTTTCGACCCCCAGACAGGGGAGTCACATCCGCTCCCTTACGAGAGCAAGGACCGCTATATTACTACGCATAAGGTCTCAGAGCCTCCTGCCTTCAGGGGTTATGGTATCACAGAATATCTGGAGAAGTGGGAGCTTCACGCCAGCTGGAGTCAGTGGTCGGAGGCAGAGATTATAGAGAACTTCCTATTTAATGTGGACCCAAGTCTCGGTAGGGAAGTTAAGGAAGCTCGACCGAAGGATGGGAAATGGACTACGTACAAGAAGAATCTCGTTGAACTTTACAAATTGGAGGACAACAAGTATTCCATTAAGGACCTTGAAACAATCACTCAAGATGAAGATGAGAGCGTACAGGCATTTGGGATGCGTTTCCAGAAGATCTCCGACGTGCTGATGAAGAAGGGGAAGATCTCAGAGGTCGAGCGTTGTACTATCTTAATCGGACACTTGTCCAAAGGTAGGCAAAAAAGTATACTTAGAGATCTTTCGCGCGACAGGCTTGATTTCCCTGAAGTTCTGAAGCTCACGATAAAGGCGGAGGCATACGATTGATTACAAGGACTTGGTGTGGAGAGGGATGAGGAGACGTGACTTCTCTCTCTACAAGGAGTATGTCACTGATAGATGTCCTCATTTCAAGGACTATTCCTGGTCGGAAAAGAATGAGGCCGTGGCTGAGGAAGTGAAGGAGATACGGGACATGGTGAAGGGATTAACGAGATAGGTTACAGAGGTTGTGACCGCTACAGGGGCCACGGTCTACCGGGACAAACCTGGAGGGCCCTATTCACTTCGCTGGGACCGTAGGAACAACGATCCCTGGAGGAGTGTCGAGGATAGAAATCCTCGGACGCTGACTGATTATTGAACGAGAAGAAGAGAGAGAGACAATGAGCCATGGCGACGTAGGAGCGATGAGATAGACCGAGACCGCAGAGATCGCGAGCCGTTTGTGCGAGCAAGGAGGCTGGATGATTACCCGCGAAACCCTCGCTATGAGGCCGATCGGGGTAGAGGCGACTCCCGMGGCYGATGGGAGACAGAACAGRGCCGACGAGATGGATATAGGGACGACAGATACGAGAGATCGGACCGAGATGGATATAGGGACGACAGATACGAGAGGTCGGGTCGAAATGGCTACAGAGGAAGTAGATATGAGAGAGGAGATCGGGACTGGGAACGACAAGATGGGTCGCGTGGACGGTTTGAGCGCGGGGGAGATGCGAGAGAGCAGCGCGACGAGTTGCGGGGATGGTAGAACCGAGGGGACCGACGCGATGAGTCACGAGGACGATATAACACGGGGGACCGCCGGGATGATTCGCGAGGGCGGTATGACCAAGGAGGGTTTGGAGATGACCGGCGCAACGATCCGCGCGGTCGGAATGAGAGAGGGGGATATGGCGTCTCATCAGAACCATATCCCAAGTCGCCAGACCCCAAGGCGGCCAGAAGTTCAATCTTTAGAGGCGCAGATGACAGGGCATCTACTCCGAGGAACTCATGCGTCTACTAAAGAGGAGAAGATTATATCAAGAGGGATTGCCCGGACCTCAAACAGGCAATAGAAGAAGGACTTGTCGTGCTCGACGACCGCAAGTACGTCAAGTGGGCAGATRATCTCGGAGATGTATCGATGTTCCCTTCAATGAAGAAGAATGTCGAAGCAAGGAGAATAAAGACGAGTAAAGGAATGGAGCCGGTCAGGAGCCAGAGCATCAAGATAACCTTTGAGGGGGACATGGCGACCACACCCATAAGGGTGGCAGCCACCAAGTCGGCGAGAGGGTCTACATCGAAGAAAACCGACACGGATTACGTGATGGCGGAGAAGGACGGGCAGCGGGTCGATGGAGAGGAGGTTATACTTTGGCCGCGAAAGCGGGGAGTCAAGAAACTCTTAATGAAGATTTCGCTCGACGAGATTGACACGGTCGAGCCGCTGAGGCGGGCCCTTCGGCAACCCATGCAGTGCTTTATTCTGGAGTACCTGGCGGCATCGAAGCCAGCTCGTGATGAGTTACAGATGATCACGCGGAAGACTCGCATACCTCTATCGGAGGAGGGTCAGGGGGCCCCTAGGGCGGAAGCTTCTACAGTAGCAGTAATGGGGGTGACTGCCAAAGCGGATCGCATGGCGATAGTCCTTCTCGATGGAATGGAAGGTGTGCCTCCAGACAAGTTTTATATACTTGGTAGCGGGGCCGTGGAGACGATTATAAACGATGGAGCGGTACTCCATGCTGTGATTGATAACGACAGTGAGGCTGTCATCATAGACGAGGACCTGGCGGTATAAGTTGGACTGGGCCTCGATAGGTCATACCTATTCGAGATAGAGACGGCTGATGGGAGAAAGCAACAGATCACTGGGGTTTGTCACAAGGCAG